TATATGGCATTCGTTTACCGTGGTGAAAAAAGGCGGGTGCTAATAGCTTAACTTGCGATTTTGATCATGTTTCAATTTTGTATAGTATGGTATACGTTTTACCTCTAGCCAACGCTCTATCTTATTAAAGTGTCACTATAAATTGTTATCATTTGCTGCAGGACGATCCACTTTGCATCTCGCCGTGAATATTGATGACATATTTGCCACTGGACATTAATTGGGCAAATAAATAATCAGCTTCATTTAGTGATGTATAATCATTATTCTTCAATTGATAATTGTCTCAAACAATTTTCCAATTCTTATATATTTGATTTTTATCTTTATTTAATTTTTTAAGCGTAAATTGTAGCATTTCTTTTCTCATTTTTCTCATTGCATTTAATTTTTTAACATTGAATAACGTAGTCCACATCAGGGGTTACAATGTATCATGTTCAGCCAAACTAGGAGGAGGGGAGTAGCAAAGATAAAAATATTCATTGAGTGGCAATAACTCGCATATTGAAGCGTACAATGACGGCAGTCACGTCTAGGTGACAAAATTTGCCGTGTCAAGTTTTTTTTTTATATCTGGTATAGTTGTTATAAAAGCAAAAAAGGATAAAAAAAATGTTGTCAACAATTTATATAAGGATTCAACTTATCTTGGCCGCTTAATTTAGTCTTTAGATGTTGTCTTACTTATTGATTTTGTTATTTAAAGTTTTTTTTTCATCTACAATTGTCCTTGCAAAAGGCGCAAAAAAAGTGTTAAAATCAAGGCGACTTATTTGAAGATTCAGTTGACCTTTGTTGTTGTTTAGAGATTTCAATCATTTAACTTGTGCGTAGATCGTATTTCCCCCTTACAGAGTTATTCGAATGATTCTTTGACATATAGATAGCGTGAAACTCTTACTACACCAGGCATTGGATATACGATATTTCTATTTCCAGACCGGACGAAGCTGCGTATCTATCATCCGGACAGCCAAACGGACGCACCCCTTTAACAAGGGTATACTGTCGGGCGGGAGAAGTCTAAATATATCAATATTTCTATACCCAACTCAATCATTTGGTTTTGAATAAAAGGAGATAAAGGTATACATAAATGCGACAGGAACCCAACGACAGACAAATCAAAACATTAAGAGTCAACATACAGTCTTTTGTAATAGAAAGATGTCTTTACAGAATAAAAAGCTCAAAACCGCCCCTTGACTAAAAAATACGGAGTTTATTTAATAATATCGTCCGTCAAATATATCCCTACAGGCATATTTGATTTAATATTATTTACAGTCAAAGATATCCCAACAGACACAAGTGTTTGGTTGAAAAATATCAACTGCCCTTTTTTTAATTTCGATCGGTAGAAATTAAAGCAGTAATATAAACCATTAGAAGAAAAGCACTTCACTGTATACATGGTATAGTAACGGTAAAATAAATGATGATATGGATGACGTCCAGCGAGAAATTAAATGCATATTCCGGACGAAAACATGTTAATATAATATAAATATTAACCCTGCTTTGTACAAGACCGACAAGCTGAGCCGGATTTGTAACGTGTAGTTCACAAGCTAACAGTTCACATTTCTAACTCCGAGCCGACCAGTCTGTGCTTTTACTCTTAAATGCCGCGTGTTTAGCGTTGAAACAGCAAACACCAATTCTAAAGTCTTTGTTTGACCTGGTCGGGATTCGATCCAATGACAATCCGTTCTCGAGTCGAACACACTCCCACGAGACCAATCAGGAGAGCGGTAGTAAAGAATGTCATACCAAAATCCCAAGTACAATAAACAATACAGCTTCACCGTATTCTCACAGTTACTTAATTAAGCGAGCTCGAAGTATCTAACCTAAATTAGATGCGTTAGATTATATTGGAAACTACACGTAAATATCGATGGCCGACTTCAGAGTTGATTTCATGGATCAACGCTCTCAGAAAATTAAAAACTCTTGCACCAATTATTTGAGGGGTCCGAATGCGGCCAGCTGTTGCAAGGCAAAATTTCTGTTCTTATTCAGTATACCCTCATTTTCCAGTGGTATTCCAAGTTTCACGTTCAACCTCACTGTCGACATCCTATTGCAAGACCTACCTATTGTATTTAAATTTTATGTGTTCTCGTTCATGAACATGCATGAAATATTTGCCACTGGACGTAAAGCAAACAACCATCAATCAACTTCATAAATATTCCATGTACCTAGTACACGAAGACAAGATTGTTAAATGCTATAATGTAACATTAAATCACTCAATAATAGTGCAAATTTTTTTATGTTTTTTTTGTTTTTGGTAATTTCTTGCTATTTACTACACTGAACACTTGCATTTTTTTTAAAAATATTTCTTAACTTTGCTTCTTATCTACTGTTTTATTACGATTAATAATATATGATTATGTCAGGCGATAATAAAACTAAGAAAGGTAAACAGTTTTTCAAGGTGTTCCACCTCCGGGTGCGGGATTTTCTCGCTGCATTGAAGACCCATTGGTGACCTTCGGCTGTTGTGTGCTCTATGGTCGGGTTGTTGTCTCTTTGACATATTTCCCATTTCCATTCTCAATTTTATGCTTCATTTAGACGTAAAAAGGAAATGACGGACGACTTAAAATAAAACTGTTTGTTGTTATATAATACTTTGTATTTCAATTTAAGAATGATGATCAATCTTGCGAAAATATCTCATCTATACACGTTTTGATCGAGCCACTCAAACCTACATAACTTGATGCTAAAGATGTCACATTTAGCCTATTTAATACGATTTTATTGATTGAAGTTTACAAGCATAGTTTTTTATTAAAAAAAAAAACAAGATTTATTTATTAACTGGACTGAACAGACAACACTAATTATTTTGCATTTGCATGCAACGTAGTGTACGAAAATTACAGAATCAAAACCACAATGAACGTTTACCTGAGTATTGTGAAGGACTTTATGCATCTAGGTTCCGTTCGATTAGAAGTTGTGAAACAAACTGTAAAAATAACTAATTGTTGGAAGAGTTTACTTACTGCTTTCATTTGGTCTGGTCTTTACGAATCTATTTCATGATTACTTACAGATTAAAAACATCAAATATTTCTAACAAGAATTTTTTGTACAGAACATTCATTGGTCAGTTGTAAATGAGGTCTGTATAGGGTTTTGAATTACTCATATCGCAGGTGCTCCGGAAGGGTAAGCAGATCCTGCTCTACATGTGAAACAATCCTATGATATTTTATAGGAGTTATTGCCCCTGAAATGATTTATTATAAGGTTAATTAATTATTAACTAAACTTGGTTCATTATAAAACCATAGGGTCTTTTGCAAAATGTTGGGTGACATATGACCTAGAAATAATTCAACCAGAAGTGACATTGATTAAACCAGAAGTAACCATTTTTGTACTTTTTTTATGAAAAAGTACATAGAAACCATATACATTTTAAATAAGCATATATAAGCCTATCATTTGAGACCGGATGTGACCTTCAATAAGGAAGAAGCTGATGATCTGATAGGCAAAAGTATATAGAAACCATATATTTTTTAAATCAGTGTATACACATGCAACCGGAAGTGACATTTTCTAAACCGGTAGTTGCACATTATCTCCTTTTTTCAGGCAAAAATAAATAAAAATCCTTCATTTGTGGAATCTGTGTGAATAAAGCTATCATATAAGACCGGAAGTGACATATCTAAACCGGAAGTAGAAAATTATCTTCCTTATTTTAGACAAAAGTATATAGAAAACATATGTATTTTTAAACAGTATGCAGATACCCATCATTGGACGCTAATAGTGACTTTGAATAAACCGGAAGTAGCTTCAATAATTTAGAAAATTGATGTAGAAAGACCTTCATTTGGTTGTAAATTTCCTTTTAACTTTTTCTATTGAAAAGAACTTATTACCTCCCTGAAGTCTTATTTTCCATTTATATATTTTGAAATTATACTGAAACTTTTACTCCCTCAGACAAAGTTGGCTTTAGATGGATTTGACTATTTTTTAGGTCCTTGTTGGTTGATAGCTCTGCAACGTTTTCGGTACTTATACATCCTGAACTTTCAAATATTTGGCTTTGAGCGTTCCTGATAAAGGTAATTCCAGAAAAGCGCTTCGGACGCATCAATTTTATAACGTGTTGTTTACATTTTCTTCGATATTTCATTACCGATATAGTCTCCAAAAACCTTTTATTTTGGAATTCATTGCATACGATAATATTTGCCTTATTTTTATCTGAATGGTTGTCAAACGAGTAAAGTTGCATTTCTAGTTTATTCAATTTTGTTTATTGTCATGACAGTATCAAATAAGAATTAACGATTTCACTAGCTGTGGAAGCAGAAAAATACTGTTATTTCATAATTTTTGATATTTGTTGTATTTATTAGTTATACATAATGAAGGGAAAATATATTCCATATATAAATGCATGACGTTGAAATTTAAATGCATACAAACAAATCAGTAAAAAACGAAATTCAATACCAGGATTCGAAAACAAGAGTAAATTGTTGTCATACAAATTAAATAACTTTTCTAATTATTAGTATTGAATTCAGGCAACGGTATTTTTCCCGGTATGAACTCTCATGAAACGATTAAGAAAAACAGTGAAAGTTAAAACTTAAAGTTGAGGTACATTGTAATTGCAAAAACTTCAAAAGGAACGGCACCGAGTATACCGAAAAGGAAAGCCTCCTGCTATGTATACATCTCAGTCGCGCACATTTATACTCATTAGTCAATGTTGTGATACTGTACAGATAACGTGATATGTATACCCTGATTAGAATAAAACCAACTCTTATACAAATTTCAGACATTTTTCAGTATTCATATTCATACAAATTATACAATTATGTAGTTCCTAGTGTTATTGTGTGTGTTCACAAAGAGTAGTTGAAGAATAATAAGTCATGGTTATATGAATGGTCATATTATTTAATCATTTGCAAAAAATACATTCAACGAAGGACGATTTATTGTATACAAGTAATTTGAATATTCGACTAGAAATAAGTGTAAATTAAATGCTCCTCAACAATTGAATTTCCCTAATAGAAATGTATTAAGATAAGGGAGATTGGCAAATGTTAAGACATATTCAAATGCAAAAAAAAAATAATAATCAGTAAAACAACTATTCCCTAATTGAAAAGATCGATTCAGTATATATGTGTCTTGTTGTCATTAATCAATCTCTATACGTTTTTAAAGTTTTGGTCTGATTTTCATAGTAACTGTTTTAAGTGAATAATCAGAACTGTACCACGCTTTCCAATACATTCCATCTCTGTTAACCACGCCACCATTGTAGTAAATGCCGTTAAGATTTGTTTCTGTGCAACCATTGAACCACCAACCAGCGTGTTCTGAGTCTAAAGCGCAATTATCTAGTTCATTATCGTTGTCATTGTCCCAAGTAGAGAAAGCCATTCCATTTAAGTTGCACTCTTCTCGAGTAGGGGATAATATGCTGTCTCCTGAAATTAATTTGAATTTATTATTTAGTAGTACAGATACCGATACAGAAATGTGTGGACAAACCAGGGTTTTTTGCGAACATATAAATTGGAGCGATTAAAGTTCATTATTGGCGAAAGAAATATAAGGTTCGATTTCATCCATCTTTTTTCAATTTTTTCGGGTTTCTCTGACTTTACTTGATCAGACAACACTGGGAATTCACCTTGCACTCGTTACGATTTTGACAGAAAATCAATAATCAGCTGATTGCATTTTATAGGTTAAGGCAAAAAAAGGACTAATCAATAAAGTTGTTGATTGTATTGTTTAATGAAATGATGTGGTTAAATGGTGTCACATGAAATCTAAAGGATTTATTTACAACTTTGCCACGCATATATATGTTTGAAGCATAGATCAGGATCCCGTTTCAATCAATCACGTCTCCTCTTTTCTTTTAACGATGGTCCGGAAATAAAATGTTCAAAAGAAAGAAAAATCTCCGACTTTAAAATTAATTTGAAGTGGGCACTTTACAATCGTTTTAGTGACGCACGTGTTTGAGGCATAGTTTTGCGTCTCAACATTTTCTTTTTGCGATGGACCGGAAAAGAAAAAGTAAGAAAAATCTCGAACGTTACCTGATGTTCAGTGTTTGTCGTTTGTTGATTTGGTTCATAAGTGTTTCTCGTTTCTTGTTTTGTATATAGATTAGACCGTTGGTTTTTCTGTTTAAATGGTTTTACACTAGTCAATTGCGGGGCCCTTTATAGCTTGCTGTTGAGTGCACGTGTAAGCCAAGGCTCCGTGTTTAAGGCCGTACTTTGACCTATAATGGTTTACTTTTACAAATTGTGACTTGGATGGAGAGTTGTCTCATTGGCACTCATACCACATCTTTTTATATCTATTTATCATTCAACTAGACGGGAAGTATATATCCGATAAACTTATTGCAGATGACTCTCCTGTTCCCAGAAGTCAAACATGATTATTTCATGATCTATAATGAAAATTTACAGTGTCTTTTAAAAAGTAAATGTTTAGTGTTTATTTATTACAATGTAGATTTAAAAATAGATTTGTAGAATTATCATAGAAAACAATGGGGCAAACTGAATATTTTTTTTTGTTAGAATGAAGGAAAATGTAAAAGAAAAATATGTTTATGTTAGTTGGAGAAAAAAAAAGTGGCGAAACATATATTGCTTTGGCGAATGAGATGGCAAAAAGAAAACGGACCCAGGGGAAACCCTGGGACAAACCAAGTTTTGTTACCTTTCACACTCAACTTAGGCCTTAGAAATATGGAGGATGGAGATATAAGTTATGGAACGTAAGATAAATAACGATCTGTTACACTTCTACACAACACATATTTCGATAAAAACATGTATTCAAATTGAAAAAAAATATAGGAATATATTAGTCCGAAAACTAAAGCTTCAACCTCCTCACAGAACTGTTAACTATTAAGAACAAATGATGCAAGGAAGTGTACATGCGCTACGTTTGTATACGACAAAATGGACGAAGAGACAAATATCGTTAATTTATGTGCGTCACCAAATTCATATGCATACATTTTCTGCAAATCTTTATGCGCAATGAATTAAATAACATTGTCACTTGACAAAGTGAAAGCACGAAGCCAACAATTGTACTGATGAGCTTGTGGTACAATTTGTACATGGTGGTGGTCGGTGAATAACAGTTAGGTAAACGAGGATAACAATAAGAAAGAAAGAAAACAATTATGTTCCCCGGCTGTATTATCAATCGTTGTTGGTACAAAAAAAAAGAGTTAAATTTCTATTGATGTTTTGCAGTTAGTAATTTATGTCAATCTAACAATGAAATGAAATACACCGATTTCATGTTGAAGAATACATTTACAAACTATGAATTTGATGAAACAGGAATCTGCAAGTTCACAATGTATTCCTATGATTAGTGCATGTCAAACAAAATGAATCTAACTAGAGCATGTAGAGGATTTTCTTGTTCCATGGAGGTTCATTTCATTGTTTGTTTTCCGGAATATTTCTTAACAATCATCCATTTACCTTATGAAGTTAACGTTGATTTATGGTTCGATAAAAACAATTATGACTTTTCTACTAGTAAATGATTAAAATATTATTTTGTCTGAGCCAAATGAGTCGGAAAATATTCGCCATTTTTCAGAGTACAAAAATGTACAGAAAAATATGAATACTATATAAATTCCAAATGCCAACCGAATCAACCAATACCATTTAAAAAGTATATTAAAGAACAGAAGTTGACCGATTTTCAAAAAACAGTAATTTGGGGAATCGCATGAACTCATAAAGGTACGAGGCCGAGTGCTTCGAAAGGACAGGCATCTCCTGCTATGCCTGCATCACTTTTGCCATGTGAATTTACACTCAGTACTTTGGGAGATACCATATGATTTTTATGGGGGGGGGGGGGGGGGGGGCTAGGATGAAATTTTTGTCCTGCATTTTTTTTTAGTTGTAATCTCTGTCCTGCCTTTTAATTTTTCACTCTATTCGGTCCTGCCTTTATTTTTTTAAAGTTTATCCTGACTTTTTTTACCTAAATTGTCATCCTGACTTTTTTTTTTGCAAGTGTCTCATCCTGCCTTTTTTTTTTTACTCAAAACTCCTGTCCTGCCTATTTTTTTTCAAATTTCATCCTAGCCCCCCCATAAAAAGGGGGCTAGGATGAAAAATTTTGTCCTGCATTTTTTTTTAGTTGTAATCTCTGTCCTGCCTTTTAATTTTTCACTCTATTCGGTCCTGCCTTTATTTTTTTAAAGTTTATCCTGACTTTTTTTACCTAAATTGTCATCCTGACTTTTTTTTTTGCAAGTGTCTCATCCTGCCTTTTTTTTTACTCAAAACTCCTGTCCTGCCTATTTTTTTCAAATTTCATCCTAGCCCCCCCCCCCCCCCCCCCCCCCCCCCCCCCCTAAAAATCAAATGGTAGCTCCCTTATTAACCAAGAGTTCAATCTCAGATTTAAAAAGTCTTTACATTTATGACCTTAGCATTTGCCTTTCTTGCCATGCTAACATTTTAAACTCTGTGATTCAAATAGGTTCACATACGGTAAACGACATGCCTGATGAATTGATATGAATTGTTGATATAGAGTATGATTCGTATGAACGATATTGTAAAAATCAGTGAAAGCGTGCTATGATTTCCTTTTTTGTTTAATGTGATGAAGAATAGAAATATACTAAACAGGTTTTACCTAAATTAAATGTTCTCGGAGAAAGTAATAACTTTCTTTTTCTTAACATGAATTTCACATACCGACATTTCCACTACAGTTGCCAATAGTGAGTACATAGTTTGTCGTTTCATTTCCAATAAAGAATGTGTCATACTCAGCGTATCTTGTCTCATTGTTCCAATCCTGAAGGTCAATTCTGAGTTTGTAGTCTTTTGTAGACAGGATATTATGCAAATTATCATTACCTGAAAAAAATTATATCTCCTTTCTTATGTTGTACCTTAAGTTCCTCTATACATGGTATATGTTCTCGCAAAAAAATGTCGAGAATTTGTCTTTTATCCAAAGGCATATAAAGCAACACGCACACTCATTATATGAGATCCTTTTGAAACTTCTTTGCTAAGGAATAATTCCTTAAAATAAGAACCAACCAAATAGAAGAAATGTTAATGTTGGAATATTACCGTCTCATATACACATTGGAGACGTTTGTTAATCAACAATGGGGAACAGTTGAACCTGTATGTAAGTACAGTCATATAATTTATGAACAGAGCAAATTACAACCATAATTTCTCAGTTACAACCATACGATGTTCATGCAACTATTAAGCCACGTATATGTCGAGATGGAAGACCAAAATCAATGAGAAAGTGTGTCTGCTCTCTTTTTTGATGTGCTATTTTAATTAGGTAATGTGGGGTAAGAATCGGGAAAAATATACCGAGGGGCATTCAAAAGTCGAACGTATACGAAATACTGACAACACCATGGCTAAAAGAAAACGACGTACAGACAAACAACAATATAAGCAACTACACGGACCATAAAAAAAATGAAAAAACATGAAGCCCACACAAATTAGGAGGTGAATTTCGTACATCTAATACAAAAACGTTAATAGTTAATACGATGTCGTATGTTCAGCATATTGTAATTACAAGAAGAGTTTTATGATTAACGAAAGACAACCTTGATGTTTAATTTAGACAACAGTAGTTTAACGATGTTCAAATCTCGTAAATCTATTTAGAAGATAAAATTCGAGGTAAAAAAAATAAAAACTGATGGAATCGCATAAACTAAACAAAAACGAAAAGCGTTTACTGATATGTGTCCATCACCAGCCATGCGAATATACACGCAGTCAAAATTTTGATTTATAAATATAACATTACTGGTTCATCTCAGTTCAGACGACTCTTCTGGTATCTAATGATTTAAGGTTGCATACGTCGTTTCGGTTAGCCAACTCGTGATGGTGACTGTAAAAAATATGAACTGTTGATTTCAGTCTTTTTTCTCATAACACGGCTGAATCTGATTTGTGTAAGGATCGCACCCTGTAATGCTGTCCGGTTAGTGTTAAAATGCACAAGCATACATGTGAAATGCAAATATTATTTTTTTAAGCTGATCGGATGAGTTACATGTCCAAATTCTTCGTTTGCTTAACTTTTCTATTACAATGTTGATTTTACAATTATGCTAACATAAGTATATACTTATAATAATTTTCAGAAGTTTTTCCTAAATATAATATTTTTTCAAAAGACAGTCGGTATTGCTATGGGAACCAGTTTTGGACCTTTTTTGTCGACTGATTCATTTATTCATATGAGACAATATACAAACAGGAGGTTCTCCGTTGGAATAAAAGTATTTAGCATTACTTTTCCTTTTTATTTTTGTCTTCGTTAATGATATGATCCGACTAAATAAATCAAAGATTGGTGACCATGTTCAACACATGTATTCGATCGGTCTTGGATTGAAGGCTGAATAATTTCAACAAAGACTGCTTCATATATTGGTATTCAAATGAAAATCGAAATCATAGTCGGTTGATAACAAAACTTCACAAAAAAAGAGATGATTTAAGCTTCGAAATTGTGAATCTTCAATTTGTATGCTGCAACATTCTGGTAATGTCTGTATTTGGAGTACATATCATTTAGTTGATTTAGATATTCAAGAACTTGTCTTTCCTATCATGATTTTAAATTGAGAGTTCCTGCTTACAATGAAGCTCTTAAACAAAGGGTTCATAATTGAAGTTTGAATGGCATCCCATCGAAGGAGAATCGTCTCTGAATTATCTTGACGTTTGTCATAATTTGGATGATCGTAATGGAATAAATGTGTCATAATGCATGCATAGCAGGAGACGCTTACCCTGACGACGCACCATGTTTTGCTCATTTTGAAGATCATGCGATTCCCTCGGTTTATGTGTGATAGCTTGATTTGTCTTTTTAATCAATTTATGAGACTAAAAAAAATGGTAAACAACTGGTGCCTAAATTCGTGGATATGTTTAACTTGTCGTAACAATCACGTTCTAATTTCCTCAATTTATCACCAAAGGTTTACAAGCAACAGCAACACTAGGGGTCTCGATATGGGAGCATGATATCACTTCCGCGTTTTAGTGGGTTCGTTTTGCCAAGTTTTTACTTTGGGAGGCTGGTATTATTTTGATCGTTTTTCTGTGTAATCTTAGCAGTAAAAAAAAATATATGAGCCTCTGCCATTTAGACTATTGTCCATCAGATATCAAATGACGTAGATGTAAGCAACTAAACAGTGTCAATTTTTTGGACTAAATTTGTTTTTGTCCCCTTTGTATCTGCTGACCCTTTAATAAATACAATATGATAGTAGTTGTTATGCCATATCATATGTTCAACATCAGACAACGTATGCGTATATGTAACGCATTCGTTAGAAAAAGAAAAACATGTAAATTAAAAAAAATCCCAACCTAACCAGTATTCACAGTTGACATTTCCAAAACCTTGTTTATAGTCTTTCCAATTTCTGTAGAAATCTGTTGTTCCATCTAACCTTCTTTGTATAACCTAATAATGTAGAAACAAAAATTTTGTAGTGTCCCTACAATCTATTTTCATCGATTGCTGTAGTCTCTATCCATTCATGTTTAATGATTAGTATCTACACAATTTGGTAAAAAGCAAGAAATCCTACAATCTTCTGTCATTCACTGTTAACATTTTTCATTAATCATTTTATTTGAATGGATTTTTTCTAAGAAGAAACCTAGCGTTTATTCCCATTAGCATAAATTGTATTATTCTAACTAAATCAAATATTAATTGAGACCTTGATATTATGTTAAAGTAATATGATACTTCATATTAAAAAAGTTGAACATGTTTTATTTACTTGTAAAATTGAGAATGGAAACGGGGAATTTGTCAAAACGACAACAACCCGACCAAAGAGCCAAAAAAAAATAACCAGCCCAATTGCGAGGAAAAACCTTGATGATGGAAGGTAAGTAGTAATAATTGATTCTTAAAAAAACAGATCAAATAGACCAAATCATAAAACAACTGTTATGGAAAAGTTAAGAATAAAAAAGAGAACGCGTGGAAAATATTAAAAAAAAAATTAAACATCGCTCTAACCATTCACGTACTTTTCCCGTGTTCCACGGTTCTGTGTTTATTGTTTATCAATGTCACCATCCTGTACATTTCGGCAACAAACTCAGAAGTTAAATAACTAGCGATCAACAATCACTGAATGAAATATAAAGTGTCGATAATACTTAATAGATTGATAACAAATGTAAAAAGAGTGCATACAGGACTTCGTGTAGTATATATGTATGCATTGGTTCAATGATTTCCTTTTCTCTATCTTATACTGTTTCTGTTAAATGTATGCATAACTGGTACATGCATAAACTCGTTACGATTAAGAACTTTACATATTGTGCATATACATGTCTATGGTTAAAGGCTTATTTTGCCGTTTTTTTATTATTGTTTTTCTTTGATTCCGTAACTAATGGACGCATATTCAATATCATTTATATATTTTATTCATACCATAAATATTAATGTTGCGATTTTTATTTGATTTGGTTTTTAATGATCACCATAAACACTTTTAATTGAGAGTAAATTCATATTCGAGACGCAAACATGTTAATAGGATATGAATCAGAACCATACTTTGTACAAGACGGACACGCTCAGCCGAATTTTGAACGTGCTAGTTCACTCAATAATCCCTATGCCTAATGAATGACTAATAAAGTTCAGCGAATTCAGAACGATGCAATCGCTCTGACTCATTTTATCTTACACACTTACTAGTGATCAGTGCAGAAACTTGATTAGTGCAAAACTACTTTACACAAAAACATGACCTAAATGTTTTGTATTTCTTCTAAAATTTTGACTTTGCGCTTTGTTTGTCCGGAAGTATTTGCTTAACTTTGAGTCCCTGCAGTCAAAACAATAAAACAAAAATACCGAAATCCAAGGTGGCTTCAAAAGGGGAAGTCTTTAAAAACTGACAAAATCAAACGCCAACAATCAACAAAATACGTGAAAAGTGCATTTTGATTACTATCCTATTCCGATCAAAATCGAAAGTCGTTCTCTACCAAAAATGCAGTTTTGGTCTGTTATAAAACTTTCATATTAACTTAATTGTTGCTGTTGTTTAAAAAGAAACCTTTTAATTTATTAGCAAGTGCTTTCCTATGGCTTACAATACATACAATACTCTAGCTAAAATTGTCAATTGTAAAATACCATCCATTTCCCATCTATCATCATATCGCAGTAGACATCAAAAGGTCCATCTTTATGATACATCGTATAAATTCCACTTGCGCTTCCATGCGGAAGGTCACTACAGTCAAAGAATTCATCTGGAATATCACAAATACACAATTCTTAAGCTAATCGCAAATTAAAATAAATACAAATGAGAAACCCGAGATTCTAGTAAATCATGTAAATAATGAAATTTCAAACAAAATATTAATATAAATAAGAAGTCAGAGGAAAACCAAACAGATAACGAAAAACAGTAAATGATAATGGCATTTATCTTATATGTACATAAGAGTAAGAATTGGTAGATTGCTAAATAAAATGCATTACTAGGATATTAAAATTTTTTAATCAACATTACAATACAGGACAGAAAATTAGGATGACCGTACACAAAAACGCTACTGTAATCTACGATATTGAACTTTTGGAAATATAGCTTCAAATTATCAACGTCATCAGTGATAAAAATATTTTTTTAAAAGTTTTTCTATCTTAGACATACAATAATACCATTAACGGTGCCAATTTTTCTGCACCAGATGCGCATTTCGATAATAAATGTTTCTGCAGTGATGCTTGATGCCAAAATATTTGAAAATCCAAAGCTTTTTAAAAAGATGAAGAGATAATGCTAATGGCATGCATGTTGGTGAACAGCAGTCCTCGTAGAATATATATCATGTGATTGTTGTTTGCGTTTCGTCCAGTGGCAAAAAGCATCATGCGTGTTCAAGACGAGAAAAAATTATGAATAAATATAATACGTAGGTCCTGCAATAAGGCGGTCAACCAGATTGGTGGACGGAGAATTTTGGAACACAACATGAAAAATAAGGAATTTTGGATTGGGACCGCAATCAGACATGCAGCATGCCACCAACAAACGTGAACAATTGTCTAGGTTATTATGTACATATGTGTATATTTATCAAAGTAGATGTGAACGTTTGTCAGCGGCAATGGTACATGTGTCCAAGGCATTATGTATACTTTGCTTTGGTCCTGTGGTCCTAGTTTGATGTATACAAAATGATCTGAATCAAATTTATTAAATTTAGCAATTGTTATTAACTAAGGTTTAAACTTCCTCAGGCAAAGTGAACCTCATATACTATAAGCTACACTGTGAGACCGTTTGATGCTTTTGAAGGTTTTTATAATTTTCATGTCAACATTTTGATCTCGAGCGTATTGGAAGAAGGTTAATCCGGAAAAACTGGTTGTGCGAACAGAAATCTAGACAAAAGTGCTTTAGAAATATACGTATGATTCCAATTTCAGTGTACACGACAAGTATTTCCTAAGTACACATGTTGAAGTTTAATGTCATTGCCTACCAAAAAGAGACGAAATATAACATGTTTTACAGGGGAACATTAAAAACTTACAAGTCGGAAAGAAACTGACAACGTCATTGTAAAAAACGACGAAAATACATATAAAGTTCACAAAATACTACATAAGATGTACAGACTGAGCAACTAAAGTCGAATTTAAACTGGCGGTTATCTCAGGCGCTCTGGAATGGTAGGTAGACTCTAATTTAAATGTGACATATATCGTGTAACTCCTTTAAAATAAGTTGATACGTTAAATGTATTTCAAGTTACTGGGCATCACGCACTAGCGCGTTGGTAAATGATGTTTATTTAACCCCAAGTTATTATCAAATTCGTAAATTATTATTCAACATAACTCAAAACAAGGAAACGACAAAACAAATTGATACTATTCCGACTCCCCTTAATGCCATCGGTTAAAAAAAAAGCCGTAACGATATTTCAGTAAATAAAAATATACACATGTTTGCATCAACTTTTGTAACATACATCGTTATAAATGTTAACTATAAAACAAACCTGTAAACTTATATGGTAATTTTCGGAGGAAAATTCCGTTTGCAAATGGTTCTGATTCCGAGACACAACAAGAGTATAACAGACACTGTTGTGTTGCTTTGTCAAAACTTGCAGAGTAGCAGGCTGAATAACTTGCACACCAACTTGCACAGAATATGCCAGATACATCTTTCATTTTGCCGATTGATGTTTCAGTTGAAGGAATTGTCTTATTCTCTTCAATTGCAAACTTTTCTTTTTTTATTCTAATGGTGAAGCCGTATGCGCAAACAAAGATAGTGAACCAGGTGTATAATATAAGACAGTAAAACATGATGCAAAACTTTCGATCCAGATGTGGCAAATCTAATACCAGAACGAAATCTTTATATGTGATTTATTTCCATCTTTTTTATTTGGCTATTTCTATCTAATTAAAGTACAAACGAACTTTATCTTCAACTTGAATATTTGAAGATAACAAAAATATCTCATTAATATTACAAGTAATTATACATGTTATGTAGTCCAATGTTCATAATTAATTATTTTTGTTGCATCTTAATAAGAAAAGCTTGTAACATCAATACAGAAACGTATAAAATACAATAGTTCTGTACTTTACATTTGCACATCTCAAATTGAAATTGAAAAAAGAATGAGCAATATTTGTAGATAAACAAAAAGCTTAAATTAATGACTATAAAACAAAAAAAAATGTCCTCATAGTGCAGACAAGAAATATGTCAACACGACAATTGTTTTGCAAGGATAATTACTATTTATTTTATCAAATGTTTACATAGAACGTATCGGTATTGATCGATTAACCAACTTGTTTTGTATAGTTTTGGATTGTTTGGGTTGTTTTCATTTAAATATTACAATCTAGGGTAAACATTCATATCATATGAAAGACCTTGGTTAAAACCTCACATATATTTATCATCTGTTTACCAGCAAAGATCACATTATCAGTTTGTATTACTTAAATATTTTTGGCAATCCCTTTCTGTGATGCAATCCAACCATTTGACGGTCCGTTTATAATTTAAATATTACATGTGTATCTAAACTCGGAATTTAAAAATGTCCCTGTATGGTGGTTTTTCGAGTAACTATTTTGTCTAGTCTTGAAAATGTTTTGCTTATAACTCATATGTATTAAATGTTTTTCCCCAGGTCCTTTAATTTTAAGGACATTAATTCCAAATATAACTTTTGATATTTTTTTAAGAGACAGAAGATACCAAGTATGCCTTTAAAAATCATAAGTCGTGATAAACTTACAACGCCATGGCAAAACACGAAACACGACCTTACAACGCCGCGAAAAAACACGAATCACGACCTTACAACGCCGCGAAAAAACACGAAACACAACTTAGGGACAAACGAGTCAACAAAACACTATACAGAAATCTAAAGAATAAAAAAAGACCCACAAGAAATGGGGATAATGGCACGACGTGCAGATCCGGAAGGTTTAGTTTATCCTACACAACTAATGACATTTGTCCTGATACTCTTGTTAATAACACATGATACACTGATGAGTCATTTTCAGTGAATCAGCATCGTACAATGCGGATTGATAAATGTTTTTTGTTTAACCCTACGACATCACCATAAACAAAAACCATAGAAACATTCTCTAACCCATGAACTTACATCAGTACATGGGTTCTAGTCTGAAATGATCATTTTGATTTTAGCCTCATCTTAAAAGTCTGACCAATAAATCAATAAGTCATATTCAGTCTTTTAGACAATTGTCATAGCTATTCATTGCGGTAAATTTAGTTCCGTTAAGACAATTTTCTTGCAGTCAATTCAGTACTGTTCAAACAATTCAGTATGATTTTTATGTGAACATGTAAATAACAACTACTGAACAGTCTGAAGATAAACTAAACAGATCTTAATTGACTGCAAGCAAATTGTCTGAACAGGTCTGAATTTAGCAAAATGGATGAGTCTTAAAAATGACACACAGACTGAAAATGATTCAATTATTCAGTGTTCAGTCTTTGAAGAGCGATTAAGCGATTTCGGTGTTTATACGTGACATATTAGAAATTTTCACAAATAGTTAATTTTGACTTTCAGCTACGAAAATCAGTTTTAGCTATTCCTTTTTCTGTGTACAAATTAACAACCTGTAATGAAATAATGAATTAATATTTTAAATTGCTATTTATCAATTATATAACAACCTTACCAATCGATAAAATGATAAAAAAGTCGATTTTTTTCAATTTCGCCTTTATTCCAATGAGACAAACAGGTTAATGATTCATTAATTTAATTGTTAGAAATGGGGGCTGGTTAATGTACATTTAGGTAGAGAAACACTTGCTTTGTATAATCAAAATGTTTATATTTGTTTAGGATCGTTGTCCTTGTTAGCAAATTCAACAAAGCAAATATACAATGGACAAGATAAATGACTGTTCACAGATGATAACCATCCGTTCACACAGCTTTGTTCCCACCAAACTGATCATAACTGCTTAACAAATTTGAGATATGAATATCTTTTTAATAGAACAAAAATAATTTACGTTATCTTGTTGATAAGGTCAAAGCTAGGTATAACTATGAATTGCTTTTTAAAAGTTTCCATTCATCGGTAGATTCTCAAATATTCGTTTTGACATATTTGTAATAGGCTTCAGCTGGTAAGTAAGACAAAAAAAAGTTTTTGGATTTAAAAAATATACATGTAGTTGATTCTTTTACAAAAGAGATGGAAGATATCAAGGTGGAATTCTAAGTTCATAAGACATAGATAAACTGACAACGCTACGGTCAATAAAAAAACAAAAAAAAGACGACAAACAAGTCCGCAAAACTATATAGGGAAAGCTAAAGACTCAGCAACACGAACCTCACCAAGAACTACGTGTTACCTCAGGTGTTCTTGAAGGGGGGCTAGTGTCACCCATCATGTTGGTCATGGTAAGTACATAGCAATATCAGGATTTAATACGAAGGGTCTTAACATAAAATTTGCTATGTCAATTTAATAGCAAACACCAGATGTACATTAATCAGCCCCCATTTCTAATAATTAACATAACGATTCATTAACCTGTTTGTCTGATTGGAATAAAGTCGAAAGTGAAAAAATCGATTATTGATCATTTCATCAATTGGTAATTAGGTTAAAAACAAAAAATATACAACCATTCAATC